AGTCTCTCTACTGACAGGAAAGGATAGAGCAGAATCTTGTATACAGTCTTTGAATAGCACAGCTGTTATTATTGGGGCGGGGGGGGGGGGGGGGGGAGTCATCCCCAAACAGATTAAAAGATAAAATATATGATGAGCTCCATAGATGCAAAAAAATTTTTTAAATAAAATTCATTGATTAAAACTCTTAACAAATTTAGGAATAAAAGAGAACTTCCTTAATCTGATAAAAGGTATATTTTTAAAAAGCCTATAACATGTGCCAACTATTAGCTATAAAGCATGAAGACCAATATCTACACATAGAAGACAACCAATAAATGATAGCTTTGATGATGAAAAATATAACTGTAACAATCATCAGTCTAAGTGATAAAATATTAGAAGAATTCTTTTTAAAATAAAAAACGAATAAGGATGACTGCTATCAGTGCTTTTACTCAGCCAATATGGTAAAATAGGGAAAATAAAATATACAATGATTAGAAAGGAAGAAAAAAATTGTTGTTTTCATAGTTGGTATGATTGTCAGAACCTACAGATAAATTATTAGAATTAATAAGATTTTTTAGCAAGGCAATTGGCTATAAGATCAAAATAGAGAAGAAGTTGAATTTCTGTAAACCAGTAACAAGAAGAAAATAATTGTTTAAAAGAAACTGATGAACAAAATAGATCCAGAGACACAAAAGCATGGAACGGACTGTCGAATCTCAGAGGGAAGGCGGGGTGGGTGAATGGGTGGATGGAAGAGATCAACCAAAGAACTTGTATACAGATATGCATAACCCATGGACACAGACAATAGGGTGGTGAAGGCCTGGGGGAAATGGGGAGGCTAGAAAGGGTCAGTGGGGGAAAAAGCAGGACATCTATAATACATTCAACAATAAAGAGCCCTAGCCGGCTTGGCTCCGTGGATAGATCATCGGCCTGCGGACTGAAGGGTCCCAGGTTCAATTCCGGCCAAGGGCACATGCCTGGGTTGCAGGCTTGATCCCCAGTGTGGGGTGTGCAGGAGGCAGCCAATCAGTGCTTCTCTCTCATCATTGATGTTTCTATCTCTCTCTCTTTCTCCCTTCCTCTCTGAAATCAATAAAGAAAAAAAAATTTTTTTTTTAAAACGAAAAAAAGCCGAAACCGGATTGGCTCAGTGGATAGAGCGTCGGCCTGCGGACTGAAAGGTCCCAGGTTTGATTCTGGTCAAGGGCATGTACCTTGGTTGTGGGCATATCCTCAGTAGGAGATGTGCAGAAGGCAGCTGATCAATGTTTCTCTCTCATCGATGTTTCTAACTCTTTATCTTCTCCCTTCCTCTCTGTAAAAAATCAATAAAATATATTTTTTTAGAAAAAAAAACAAAGATTTTTTTTACAATAATGATTTTTTAAATAAAAAATTAATAAAAGATACCATTTATAATACCAACAAAAATATACGATACTTAGGATTAATCTAACAGAAGATAAGCAAGGCCTTTATGGAGAAAGTTTTTACGCTTTATGCTGCATTCTACCTTCTCCCGCATAATTGTCAGTTAATAGTCAAGGCACCATGTTAAAATACACACACTCATACACACATGCATGTACACACATGCCATGTAGATGGGGCTTCGTGAAAGACTGTTTTCTGCATAGATCACAGGAAGGGAGTCCCAGATTCATTATACTACCTAAAGCTGATAGAGAACTTAGGTCCACTGCTCCTCATGCCACTTTTTATCTCTGTCAGTCCCAAGGTGGCCTGACAGGAAGGAATTTAGCTTTTCCTTGGATGCACAGTTTTTAATCTCTGTGATTTAGACAGTCAGATTCCTCATATTGACCACTCTTTCTTCCTAGGTCAATCACGTCCATCCGGAGTGAACTGATTCCATACCTAGTAAGAAAACAGTTTTCCTCAGCTTCCTCACAACATGGACAAGAGGAAAAAGAGGAGGATCTAAAGAAAAAGGAGCTGAAGCCCTTAGGTCAGTACTTGGGTTGGTGCAATAAGGTTGGGGTAGTAGCACCTTTGGAAGGAGTGGCTGGGCAGCTTACTGATTTTGGTCTAGCCACCCGGCAAGACAGGCTAGCTGTCGCCACTCTCTGAGCTCTGGGTAAGCTTGCTTAAGCAGATCCTGTCACTGTGCTCTTCAGGGACAAGCTAATCATGTCTCAGGTTCATTCTCTAGACCAGGGGTGGGCAAACTTTTTGACTCGAGGGCCACAATGGGTTCTTAAACTGGACCGGAGGGCCGGAACAAAAGCATGGATGGAGTGTTTGTGTGAACTAATATAAATTCAAAGTAAACATCATTACATAAAAGGGTACGGTCTGTTTTTTTTTATTTTTTTAGTTTTATTCATTTCAAACAGGCCGGATCTGGCCCGCGGGCCGTAGTTTGCCCACGGCTGCTCTAGACCATTCTTTAGATCCTCACTAGACCATTTTAACTTTAAACTCTTCCCACCACTTCTCAGTTCCCCTGTTTTCTAGGCTCTGGGCAGCCCCACTCCTGACTAAACTCAGCCTCTCTGTCAAGGGAAGAAAGGTGTACAATTACAGTCCAACCAGAGGTCTCCTTTCCAGGGTGCAAGGGCGAGGTCTGTCTTGTTTGCTCTCATATCCCTGCCTAAAAATATATATTTATCAAATGAATTATTAGCTCTGTGACCTGAGGGAGGTTACTCAGTCTTCTTTTGTTTTTTAAACCAGTACATTTTATTTGACCTTAGACTACATACTCCCCAATTTGTCTCAGTTGTGATACGTAGATGGCTTTAGATTGCTTTTGGTGTGCTCAGTCTTCTAAACCCCAGTTTTTATATCATAAAAGATCCCAAATGATTATTGTAAGAGTTGAAAAACTGGAGCCCAGCTACTTTGGCTCTAAGTCTTGTGCTATTTCTGTCCTGGTACAACTTCCAGATATGTAATAGAGGCTAGCCCCACAATATGGCGGGTCACTAAAACCTGGACACTTGCTTGTGTTACTTCATGATTTACAAGAGTCACCTATTTTTTTTTTCCCCCTTAGTAGTGCTTGGTTATTGGTCAAATTTGCTTTAGGACCTCTTTTAAAGCATTTTTGTTTCTTACAACATTTCAAACATACAAGAAAGCACATTGCCTCTTTTAATTTTACTTAGTCTTTCAAGTTCTAGTGGGATTTTCCCAGGGTCCATGCTGCATGGGTGGGTTCCACAGGGAGAGGTGTGAACTTTGCCCTCTTTCAAAACTTACTGAGTCTATATCCCCTCTGTCATCTCTCTCATTCATTTGCTCGGTTTGGGTGTTTGTTCTGAAGATATTTACAGTTTTATAAAAGAAACCAATGCACTGACCTTTGCTCCTTACGATGGCTGCTGGAATGCCTGTCGAGGAGACAAGTGGGAAGACTTGTCCAGATCACGGGTGCGCTGCTATGTCCACATCATGAAAGAGGGGCTCTGCCTTCGATTGAGCACCCTGGGACTCTACATAGAAGCAAACAGACAGGTGAGAGGATGGGTCTAGAAGAGAAGTCATGGGAGCTCCTTCCCTAGAAACAAGCTGAGTCTTTTGTCTTATTTATTCATTAGATAGACCGTGACTTGTTCAGAATCCCTTTCACTCCAGGTTGAGAAAGACCTGGACTATCAGGCGAGACCATTGGGGTTCCAGGTACAGCAAAAGTGGCAGCAGAGGGCCTGGTCCATAGAGGCAGAGCCTCTGTGACTCTAAAAAGAGGCTAAGATCTCCAGGAAGGCTAATCTATGGCTCTGGGTTCAGCAGCTTTCCCCTATTCTGCTCAGCTGGGGTATATGTACAGCACTTCATGAACAAGCAGATAAATACTGCATAATAAGTCCTGTGGTGACATAAACACAGGCACACAGAGGAGGCGTTCCTAAGAAAGTGAAGGAACAGAGTATAGAGTAGCCAGATGGCAACACCTCAAGGATGGAACGTCTATGAGAGAAATGCCTGGAAACAGCATTAGAAGGTGAGGAGTCTTGTTAACCCCTTTTTTTAACCCTGAGGTTTATGAGACATAGAGAATGAGTAACTTCTTTTGAAGGGGAAGCAGTGCCATGAAAGACAAGCCAGGTTTTAGTTTAGTTAAGGGATGCAGAGAGGGACAGAGAAGAGGCTAAGGGTATAGGGGAGCTCTTATTGTATAGCAGTCACAGGAGGAAGGTTTTTGGAGAGGGGCAAGATGAGACCATGAAAAGAAACACAGAGCAGTAAAGGATTGAAATGAGAATAGGAGCCCTGGCTGATTTGGCTCAGTGGATAGAGCATCAGCCAAGGGACTGAAGGGTCCCGGGTTCGATTCCGATCAAGGGCACATGCCCGGTTGCGTGTTCAGTCTTCAGTCGGGGCCTGCAGGAGGCAGCCGATTGATGTTTCTCTTCCTCTCTCTTCCTTTCTGAAATAATAAAAATAAAAAATGAGAATAGGAAAAGATAGATGATTGAGGGAACTACATTAGAATGACATTCAGTAACAGGAACGAGATGATGAAAGATTAGCTGTTGACATGGTTCCTGGTAGAACCTTGTGAAAACTGTCAGTGCAGGTATAAGCTGGGGAGGGATGGAGAGGCAGGTAGAGTTATTAAAGTTGCTGGAAATTGGGATTGGGATTGAGTCCAAAGAAAACCTGGCTCAGGAATCTTGAGAACCCACACCAGCTCCAGACCCCGAGCTGGCTTCCACCAAAATTGGTGATAGATTTAAAAGAATCCAGGCCAGAGAGTTTATGAGAAATCACAAGTAATTCCATGTTTACTCAGGGCAGTCCTGGATAAAGTTAGCCCCAATTTAGGGTCAGAGCTATTAGAAAGCTTCCAAGATTTTTAGTTCTCTTTCTTTAGACTATGATTAGTCTGTCAGACCGGTCAAAAGCAGGTCCATGGACAGCATGAGGCTAGAGAAGTATCCTCTGAAGTGACAGCAAAGGCTGTGCAGCCAACAGGCCTGAATGGCTTTGGTTGTAATAGAGGAGATCTCCATTCTCCTAACCTTTTCGTTTTCTCATACTGGAGAGAGAATGGTGGAAACTTTCCCATCAGCATTTTATTTTGACTGGTGAAGAACATGGGTGCTTTCTCAGGGTCTGTCCTGATGATGAAATTTGTGTAACACTGCTCCCATCCTCACCTCATGCATGGCCACAGTGGTCAGGAAGTGAGCAAGAACCTAGGATGACTATGGTCAGGACTCAGGATGCTCCCTGCCCTCCTTAGGCCTCCTCCCCCAAGTGCTGCCTGGATATGTCAAAGGTTGATCTCAACACCTCCTAGCTGAGGGACATGGCATTACTTTCAGGGACAATACTCTCGGCTCAGAAACTGAGGATAAGACCATCTAGAAGCTGCTGCGTAAATAACGCTTGTCCCAGGGAAAATGCAAGAGCCTCCTGCTCTGCCTCATCCAGATAGGAAGCTGTGGCTGAAAACTCCCACATCTCTGACTGGGCATTGGGTTCTACCTAAGGTGCTTTCAGGTGTTTTTTTTGTGTATTTACTTTAATGGCTAAATCTCTTTCCTCAAGGTGCCCAAATTGCTACCTCTTCTTTGTCCAGAAGAATCACTGGTTCATGCATCAGCCCAGATTGTCAACAAACACTTGGTAAGTGCTAGCTTGTGCAGGGCAGGGATGATCTCTGGGTGCATTGAGGCTTGCTCTTGTGAAGCTAGATAGGGCTCTCAAGCCCAGAACCTCATTAGCCCCAGGGAAATCCCAACAGGGTTTTGGTTACAAAATTTCACCTTGGGCTAGATCAGGGGTGGGCAAACTTTTTGACTCGAGGGCCACAATGGGTTCTTAAACTGGACCGGAGGGCCGGAACAAAAGCATGGATGGAGTGTTTGTGTGAACTAATATAAATTCAAAGTAAACATCATTACATAAAAGGGTACGGTCTTTTTTTTTTTTAGTTTTATTCATTTCAAACAGGCGGGATCCGGCCCGGGGGCCGTAGTTTGCCCACGGCTGGGCTAGATTCTGCCTGGAGAGGTGCTGACCCCAACCACACAAACCCTATTAAGGAAAGTCCATTATAGTCCTGGGGCTCTCCCTCTCCCTCCCTCTTCTTACCCCGAATTGAGCACTGTCTCCAAGAGAACATATCTATACACCCAAGTGCATGAGAGTGTAAGTTTGAGTTGGTCTCAGAGGTATTACGCGACTTGTGACCCTAAGAAATACTGATGATGGTTTCTCTTGCTGAAGTATCCCTGGGAAAATATCCTGTTAGGCCCCAGCTCAAGGGATCTGGGGGGCTAATTTGCATTTGGCTAAGATGAATGGATAGAATTTTATATTTGCCTTTTGCAGGTTGGAGTTGACTGCCTCATTGGGCCAGATACACAGATTGGAGAGAAGTCATCCATTAAGCACTCGGTCATTGGTTCATCTTGTGTCATAAGAGATAGAGTGACTGTCACCAGTTGCCTTCTCATGAACTCAGTCACCGTGGAGGAAGGGTATGTTTCCCCTTGTGCCCACTTGAGACAAGGCCCCTGGTACCGCTCAGAGGCTTTGGGAGCCAGTACAGCCTGGGAAAGGGCTCAGCTTGGGGAAGGGAAGAAAGGCAAAAGGATGAAGGGAAGAATAGTTCCTAGGCCCTTTGAGGTCTTAATTTTGGTTCCATGATGAAATAGTCTCTGAAAGCATTCCAACAGTCTTATCATACTTACGACATTTGGTCCTAGAAGAAACTACTCTCTCCTGCTTTGATATCCTGCTTGATGGGTGGCCTCAGTAGTGAGCCACTGGCAATGCTGGGATGACACTGTACCAGTATCTAAGGGTCACCTTCCCGTATCTTAGTATCCCGAGAAGCCCTGAAGAAGGCAGAGGCCTAGGAACAGTGGATGTATAAGCCACACACCGTTTTTGATGGAGAGCTTCTCTGTTACTAATTATGGAGAATGTTCCCCCATTTTGAGATCCTATAGTGTCCTAAAATCTTGACTTATGAACAACCTGTACTTGGAGTAAGAAAACATGAATGATGTTTAATAGCATTCTTCCTCTGTATTGACCTCAGGTTTTTTCTTTTTTTTTTTTTTTTTTTTTTTTTTTCTTTTTTTAAATATATTTTATTGATTTTTTACAGAGAGGAAGGGGGAGGGATAGAGAGTTAGAAACATCGATGAGAGAGAAACATCGACCAGCTGCCTCCTGCACACTCCCCACTGGAGATGTGCCCGCAACCAAGATACATGCCCCTGACTGGAATCGAACCTGGGACCTTTCAGTCCGCAGGCCGACGCTCTATCCACTGAGCCAAACCGGTTTGGCTAGGTTTTTTCTTATATAAAAAGCAAGCATAGGTGATAGCAGAGGAAGGATACCAAATCAGTGATTTTCAGACTTTTTAGAAAGGTTCTCCCAAAAAAAAAGGTTTTCAGACTTTTTCTTACGGCAAATCTTATGCAGAAACTCAGTATTTAAAAGTGATAAAAGCACAGTGGTTTGGAATACTGTGAGGAAGGGGTGCTTGTCCTTATAGGACAGGGGTGGGCAACCTTTTTGTGAGTGTGTGCCAAAACCAGCAAAATCCCTGACTCAAAATTCCTCTGTGTGCCAACCCTAATTTTTTGAGAGCATGTTACGCCTACTTGATATCTCTTAAGGTGTATGTATGTGAAGAACCTTGAAGAAATAATAAAATTCATTCGAGCGACAAAAACACAGTATATGATGAAAAATACATTTAATTTTTATTGTATACATGTTATGTAAAATTATTTATTTATCTAAGATGCACCTACACTGAATTTATCTGAAAAATAAAAAAGTCGATATTAAGAAAAAAAATTGTAAATGGAAGATTATAAGAGAGGGTTTCGAGTGCCAGCAAAAGTTATTGGCGTGCCATGTTTGGCACGCGTGCCAGGGGTTGCCCACCCCTGTTATAGGATGTGAAGCAGATCTATAAAACAAATTTTGAAGACCTCTGGGCTAGACCAGCCTGAGTTTGATTCTGGCTCACACATCTGTTGATTTCTCTGTCCAGTAACTGATAGGCGAGAAGTATAGGGGAAGACTGCAAGCCTAGTGAAAGCTGAACTACTTCTCACAGCTGCCAGTGAGGGTTGGGAGAAGCATTTTGGGAAGAGAAGCTGCATAGAGATAGAGCTAAAGGTTAAGCCTTTGCTGTTTGGAAAGACTGACTGATGGAAGACAATAGGCAGGATTTAGGGAGGAAGTGCCATAATAAAAAACCAGGAACGCTGGAGACCACAGGGATGTTGCCACTAAGATCTGTCCTTCCCCAAGCCCACAACCTGGCTTGACTTCCAGAACCCTTGCAACCAGCCCTCAGCCTTCAGCCAAAAGTTGAGAAGAATCTTTTCTGGTGAATCCAACCAGCCCAATAAGAAAAACCTAAATTTATTTACATCAGAGATTACTAACAGCCCAGTGAAATCACCCTGTAGTGACAAATTTCATTCATGTTTCTAGAGCTTCCAATCAGCTTTTTAGAATTCTCCCTTAAATATAAAGACATAATCAAAGATTACCAGAGATCTAAAGAAAGCTTCTATCATGAAAGATAGACACCACATCAAACAAATAGAAAACAGCAACTGAGAAGAAACAGAGGCTCTGCAGGGAGAGAAAAATACTTTCAAGTAACCTGTCATTTCAAAGAACAGAAAAAGAACCCTAGGCAATTAAAAATATGATAACATATTTTCTTATTTCAGAAACATCTCCTCATTTTGATCTTAGCTCAGATTTCACCATTTAAGAAGAGGCTTTGCTTACTACCCTATCAGCAATAATCTGTCCCAGTACTCTCCGTTACATCAACCTGTCTTATATCCTTTGTAGCGTTTTTACTGTCTGGCCTTAAGAAGTACACATTGGCACTGGTTAGAGTGTTGTCCCGATACACCAGTCAGGGCACATACAAGAAGAAACGAATGAATCTATCTATATAAAAGCCTAAGTGACCATTGCAACCGAATGGACAATTGAACAGGCTGCATGGGGCAACCCGCAACCAAATGGACAATTGAACAGGCTGCATGGGGCAACCCGGCCAGCAGGGGGGTTAGTGAGGGGCGACCAAATGACTGAGCAGGGGTGACCAAACGACCGAACAGCAGGCTGCGTGGGGCGACCGGTGACCAAACGACCGAACAGCAGGCTGCGTGGGGCGACCAGGCCAGCAGGGGGAGCAGTTGGGGGCAACCAGACCAGCAAGGGGGGGGGGGGCATTTGGGGGCAATCAGGCCAGCAGGCAGAGGCAGTTAGGAGTGATCGGGCAGGTGGGGGCAGTGAGGGGCAATCAGGCTGGCAGGCAGAGGCGGTTAGGGGTGATCAGGCTTTCAGAGGGAGCAGTTAGGGACAATCAGGCCCACAGGCAGGTGAGCAGTTAGGAGCCAGTGGTCCAGGATTGTGAGAGGGATGTTTAGGCCTGATTCCCGAGCAGTCGGACATCCCCCGAGGGGTCCTGGATTGGAGAGGGTGCAGGCTGGGCTGAGAAGACCCTCCCCCACCCCCCCGCACGAATTTTGTGCACCGGGCCTCTAGTGTATAAGTAGAACAACAAAATCTCTCTCTCTCTCTCTCTCTCTCTCTCTCTCTCTCTCTCTCTTCCTCCCTCTCTCTAAAAAATCAATAAATAAATAGCCCAGCCAGTGTGGGTCAGTGGTTGAGCATCAACCTGTGAACCAGGAGGTCATGGTTCAATTCCCCTATGTCCGTGGTCAGCAAACTGCAGCTCTCGAGCCACATGCGGCTCTTTGACCCCTTGAGTGTGGCTCTTCCTAAGCCTTAGGAGTACTCTAATTAAGTTAATAACAATGTACCTACCTATATAGTTTAAGTTTAAAAAATTTGGCTCTCAAAAGAAATTTCAATCGTTGTACTGTTGATATTTGGCTCTGTTGACTAATGAGTTTGCCGACCACTGCCCTTTGGGGATTGAGCCTGTCATGCCTGGGTTGCAGGCTCAATCCCCAGTAGGGGGCATGCAGAAGACAGCCAACCAGTGATTCTCTCTCATCATTGATGTTTCTGTCTCTCCCTCTCCCTTCCTCTCTGAAATCATACAAATATATTTAGAAATAAAAAGATCAATAAGTAAATAAAAAAGGAAGTACAAATTGGTAACTACAAAATAGTCATGGGGATGTAAAGTACAGGATAAGGAATATAGTCAATAATATTATAATAACTATGGTGCCAGGTGAATACTGGATATATTGGTGGGAACACTTTGTAATATGATTGTCTAACCACTATGCTGTACACCTGAAACGGATAGAAAATAATATTGAATGTAAACTAATTTGAGATAAAAATTTAAAAAGAGGTCCTAAACTAAGGCAATAGCAGTGGAGATGGAAAGGAGAAATAATAAGGTGATAAACACTATAAAACATGGTGACTGCCTAAATATGTGAGGTAAAAGGGCGAGAAATCAAAATGCCCAGGTTTTGCTTGAGCAATAAAGTTCCTCGTGTGCTAGTCACTAAGATAGAAATCAATAAAGGAGGAGCAAGAGATTCCACTCCCGCGCATCTTCACCCCTTACCACCACCTCCCACACCCCTCCTCGCCCCTCACCACCCCCCTTTCCTCTCCACCACACCCCCTCTTCCACCACACCCCTCCTCGCCCCTTACCACCTCCTCATAAAAAAAAAGAGAGAAAAAAAAAGGAGGAGCAAGACATTACTAATTGATAGGCAGGGAAATGATGAGTTCCACTTGGGACAAGTTGCGTTCATGGCAGGCAACCTTGATGTGCAGGACTGGAGCTCAGGAAAGAAGCCTGTGCAAAGTACAGATTTGGGAATGGTTGGCATAGAAGTGGTAACACAAGATCACTCAGGGATAGTGTGTGGCATTAAAAGAAAAACCAAGACAAAATCTTGGGGAACATCAGCAATTTTAGACATAAGAAATGGGATCTAAGGAGACTGACAAAGAATGAGCAAGGAAGGGATATAAAGGGCAAGGGAGGGGACAGTTGGTAGGTGAAGCCCAGGTTTCTCGTTGGGTAAGCAGGTAGATGGTGTAGTGCTCACTGAGATGAGGAAGGGAGAGGGAGCAGTGAATTTGTGGGGCTATAAAGCCTGTGTAGGGCACATGAGATTGGACGTACTTCATTCAGGTGTGTGAAGGTATCTAGGTACCCAGTCTGATTAAAGGATAAGAGAAGAGGTCAGACCTAGAGACCTCTTTCTGAATTACTGTGGTCTTTTCTAACTTATTTTCCTGTTTCCATTTTTCTTTCTCTTCCAAATCCTCCTACTATGTAACCCACCATCTAAAGCATAAACTTTAGAATGAGACTGCCAGACTGAATCCTTGGTCTGTAACTTACTAGTCACTTAGGAAATTGGCTTTACCTCCTTGTGCCTGATTTTCTCACTATAAAATGGGGTAAAAACTGAGCTACCTCACAGGTTTATGAGGAGTACTAAACTAAAAGAGTTGACAGACAAAGCACTTAGAGCAGG